AACGATGCAGCTCTGACCACACACCCAAAACATGACATCCAAAAAATGATTAGCCAGTTCAACCATTCAGCCTGACGATTAACATAAAAAAATGCTATGAGTTAAAATGTCACAGATCATTTCACATATCTGGGGTCTATCATTAACAACAACCTATAGCTTGACAAAGAAATTGACAAACGCATCACTAAAGCGACAATAGTGATGGCTATATTAAGCAAGAGAGTATAGAATAACAGTCAGCTGACCCTGCACATCAAATTAAAAGTATTCCAGACATGTGTTTTTAGTATTTTTCTTTGCGGGAGCGAAACCTAGACGGCATGCGCCACTTAAGAAAACCAGCTTGAAGGCTTTTATTTCCCTTGCTAACGACATATCCCCGGCATTATATAAAGAGACAAAAAAGATACTGCCTTTCTGGAGCAAGCAGACTCTTGGAGGATGCATTTTCTCCTCTGTCAGCATCGTCTTCCATGACAGAGTCACGTCCATTGAATGAATGACGGTCATATACCAAAAGACATAGCGTACGGTGAGTAGGCCACAGCACACAGTTCGGTAGATAGCTTTGTACTACGTGTCTGCAAGAAGGACCTGGAACTCACAGGCATGGACTCTAGTAGTTGGGAAGAGCTAGCAAACAATTTCAGGGGCAGGCGCCATACTGATCAAGAAAATGTGAAACCAATTGTTTGAGATCCGAAAATAACGCAGGAATGGGTGGGTGAGTGAGTGAGTGAGTGAGTGAGTGAGTGAGTGAGTGAGAGAGAGAGAGAGAGAGAGGGAGAGAGAGAGAGAGAGAGAGATTGAATTTAACCTACTCCAGACGCTGTTCAGAAAATTTTAACCAAATAGGTCGCTATCGTTATCTCGCAAGATGAATGGATGCCTACTATGTCAATCAAAATATATTTAGACATATGATGTCTGTCTGCCAGCCATTTAATTTTAATATTAAATAATCTAAATAAGGGAAAAAGGAGGCATAGTTGCCTCAAAGTATTTTACGCGTTTAACCCAGCGTCTCTTTCACAATTCAAAAAATTTTCAAAGTATTTTTCCCCTTAATCTCATCCACTGTATTTCAACGGTAGTTTTAGTTTGGAGGAAAAACATAAATTCAAAGAAACCAAATCTGACAGACTTGGATAATGGGATACACGTCACCTGAAGAACTTACTCGTTCAATATTGCGAATGCGACTGACACACAACCTTTCTCAATGGCATCTAATTGCCGACTAACCCAACCAAAGAATACCTGTAGACACATGGTTCTGCCGATTGTTTATCAAGTTATATTAAGGCCGCACAACCGGTTATTGATTATTCAAAATGGCTGGACACGTTCCAAACACATCATATACCATTTTAGACACAAACATATGGTAATTTAAATAATGAGTGATATAATGGACAGTGACATTATGTACAGATGCGTATATCTCTGTGTGTGCGGCTGCATGTGAATAATGTGACTGGGTATATGGTTATTTATTAGACTTAACTTAGTCTGACCCAAGGCCACAAGTGTGGAGTGTCATACGAGAAACAAACTCACTACAGTATTAATTGGTCCTGAAACTGTTTTTCCAACTACTGCTCCACGGTAAGGAAATCTGCCGATATTTATTAAGCTTAGTTTGTTCTAAGGACATAACTGTTGTGCTCCGAGATCAACTAGCAAATAATTACTTGATATGTTGATATCTATTAAATTTAGCTTATTCTGACGTAAAATTACAAATTTGGGACACAAAGTAACGATTCGTCGTAACAATACTAATGGTATGCTAGTATCGTTACATACATATTTGTATTTGCTCGTATGCTTGTATGTGTGTGTTTGTAATCATTGTATGTACTTGATAATGCAATAGATATAAACAGGTAGATATATCCCGATCAAACAAAAATCCCAAAATAACTAATTAACTTATTACTTCGTTTAATGTGTTAAATAACTGTTACTTATTTACTTATCATTTTAAAAATGCTTCGTTATAGAGAAATTGATTTTCTAATACAGTAAAAGTATCTTTAAAATGATGAGAAAACGAATAAAACTATCTGAGTTCATATGAGTGCGTTTTAATATAAGTAATTACAAGTCATTAACTAAATTTCATTGAGTACAATGCTTTTTATGCATACAGACACAGAGGGAAAGCAAGCAGATTTTAGTTACGAAATATATTTACAGAAACATACAGGCAATTAAACTGATACGTAAAAGATAAATGTATATATCTAAGTATATATATAACATAATTACTTGTTCGGATTGTATTGTTTCGGACATCACAAGAACCGGTTGTATTGCTTTGATGCAATTTTTCAATCAATCTGATAGGACATTAGTGTGCATGCGCGAACACTCTCTTGTGGGGTTATTCAGTCGGTAGCCATACGTGATTGAGTAAACACGCTTACTGTGTGATCATCTCATTCACAATGAGTGAACAATTATATGAACAAAGTTTAATGCAGAACGCTTTGACAAAACATATCACCTTAACTCGCCACCCCATTACAGAACAGATTTGGTTGAAAGTAAGTAGATTTCAAACTACTGACGTGCCTAAGAGAACGTAATGGCGATCCAGAAAGAAGACTGGAAACTCTTTTGAAAAGAGACGTTAATAAATGTGTGTGGGTTAATTTGAATGGGACTGTGGATTCATTGCTCGAAAATTCCTATTTTTTCACATTTATTAAGTGATTGAATTATTTCCAGACAAAACTCTCGAATGCACAGAAGTCTGATCACGTCAATTATGCGCTCGTTTTGGTGTTAGGGAATGTTGAAGAGGGTCAATGGGAAGAGAATTCGGGCGCAGTGAAAATAAAACGCACGCGCACACACAAATGAAGACAATAAAAATAAGTAAAAAGTGAGAACGAAAGCTAAAAACAAACTGAAAGATAATCCACAAAAACATGGAAACTCATGAAAAGTAATAAACTTTAAAAATAAAATCTTGCATCAATCTTTCAAATGTGGAGAACCTGCTTGTTTGGCTTGAGAATCAGCATTCGAAGGTTTTTCTCAGGATCGAGTGCCGACTTCAGTAGCACATATACAACTATTTCATGTACCAAAGCACACCAAAATTTTTAATTTAGTAAATTATAGCTCTCTATAGGGAAAAGCCCAATTGGCAGAAATATGAGTTGAAGCATTTTGTTGTAGCAATAGTTTAACTGGCGAGACTTTGTATATCTTGAAAATCAGCATTCAAATCTCTGAGCTTTGCGTGAATACTTTGGCGCCGCTGGTAGATAAATACGATCTCATCCATTAAACAGGCACAGTGAGTTCGGTAGTTATGGCAACATAACAAATTATATATGTTAAAAATATTATATAACAATTTTAAAACATATCAATAGGCAAAATAACTTGTTCTAAAAAAAAAAAGCATTGACAATGGAGGAATGACTAGTCGAAACGTTGTGGGATACAAAACCCCACCATGAATGAAAATACCATATGAAAAAAGAGATCACAAATATTGTTATTATTTATCTATATTTGTTTTCGTATGTTGATAAGCACCATGAATAAAAATGAAATTTTTAAGAATCGAGTAAATTTTAAAAGAATTTCCAAACCAAGACGAACGCTAATCAGATGAACAACAAAGACATCAAAAACAACAAAGACAGCAAAAACAACTAAAACAGTAAAAACTGAAGAGTGCATTCTAATCAATAAGAGTACAAAATATAAAATGGAAAGAAATTGTTTAAAACTGAATAAAACAGAATATATTCATTACTTACAGAACCATAATTTCGGCTACTTGAAAGGCTGCCGTAAGATCTGTCATAGGAAGGCTGAAATAAAAGGAAGGAAAAAATCGAAGGTGAGAATTGTGGGTGAAAATGAAGACCATATAATGTGTAAATACAAAGCAAATACGAAAATAAAATTTTCACAATCGATTTGATGGAAATTCTATTTCAAGAGAAAAATCGTTGCCGTATGATAGATCAATATATTATTTATAATTTCTTCGAATTCATAAACTCATTCTTTGTGTTGCTTTTGTTGCTACTCTTTCGCGTATACAATCCGTAACGAAAAGAGCGTCTCTTTCTTAAATATTAGTAAACAGAAACGACACGTTATGATATAAAAAGAAGCATTAGTTCAATCATCCAAAAAACACTTGGAAAGATCTAGGTATTATTTGATATCTACATGCGTGACCAAAAGTCCATTTAAATGGCATCTAAAAATTAAATTGAATTTTCGTAATCCTTATCGCATGAAAATGAAGAATTGGTGGATATTCTTATATAATTTTTTTGTTCAACATATATAAATGGAGCTATTTGTATTTGAAAAAATAATTTAAAAAGTTTCACTAAAAAATCAGCAGAAATAGAAATTCCATGATACAGAAACATTTAAAAATATCTACTAAAATTCGACTAATTATTAAAATTTTATAAAACTATTTGAACTTCTTGCAGAGATACTTTTTTAAAAAACCAACAGAAATATTTTCTTTAATGTAAATACTCATCATATAAATTTTCGAATAATAAAAGTTTTGCATGATTAAAAAGATAATTTATTGGAGAATTAAACTAATTTCAGGTTTTTTGTAAAAGAATATCCGTTAAAATCGAAATTATTACGCCTTAAGCCTTAAATTTAAAAATGAAAACAAAACGAAATATTTTGTTTTTATTTGTCAAATTATGTTATAGATTTATGGTATGTAAAATGATAAAAACTTATAATTTTTAGATAAAGATTTAAAAATCGAATTTTAAAGAATTTAAAAATCTTTTAAAATTATCTTGTTTTATTCTATCCTATCTTGATCCTGCCGAAATGATGAAGTGATGGACTTAAGATGTGTGAAAGCGTCGTTAGAATATTATAGATTATTAAATTATTTTAACCTCAAACATTCGATGCTTGTCTGACTTCTGTGGCTATTATAATTAGTTAAAGCTATTTTTGGTAATTATTTGGTGGGGATGGTTGTCATTTTATGTTTGGACAACCCATATTATGGAATAGGGAAAGGTTATCAGCTTTCATCACATAAAACCTGTAAGAAAACCGTAAAATATCTATCTATCTATCTATCTATCTATCTATCTATCTATCTATCTATCTATCTATCTATCTATCATTATTTTCCTATTTATCCATCAATCAGCTCAATGTTTTAAGATTTAGTGCACCGTGTACTTGCTATATTTGGCATACCTACAAATATATGTAAAAAGAAAAACAAAACAAAAACGAACTCTAATTAGACTAGCATTTACGAGATCAGCGCTTTTATCGTTGTACAGATTCAGTTATTAAGATACCATGAAGTTGAAGAATTAGTGATATTTGCTCGAAATCAATGATTATTTCTTTAATTGTAAAGAAATATTGAAAAATATTTCTATTTACTTAGTGTGGACATTTGTTTATAAGGATCTTGGGACAAACAATGACGATAAGCAAGAATGTATGATGATGAACATGAGTATAAATTAGTAACAATTTACGAAAAAATGTTTGGACAATAAATTGTTATGGTTATTTTGATAAAGGAATATTAAAGCCACCGTGAATGAACAGGGACATTTTCGGATATATGTGTGTGTGTGTGTTATTTTTAATTTATTTGGTTTTTTATATATATATATATATATATATATATATATATATATATATATATACACGAGACACTTAGGAAACATTTTCTTTTGACGTGTTTTCCGATGAACTGGTGTCATCAGAAAAAATATTTTTAATTCACGAGAACAAAGTCCATAGTTACAAAAGTGAGACAAAAGGTTAAGCGGCTGAATGCTATAACTATATCGTAATAGGAATTCGATTTTAACTAATTGCAACACACTCAATGCCCTTGTGTGCCACCAGCATGATTGATCTCAGTTGTCCCATAGAAAATGCAGTTGAATAAAAATGAATAAAATTTATTCAGACCAAAATGCATAGAAATAGTTAAGATTTACCAATCCTCTACGATTAATAAGATAACTGTGCTATTTCAGTTCATCATTTGTACCGAAACAATGTTGGATAGGTAAACATTAAAATAAAAAATGTAAAAATAAAAACAAATAAAAAGTAAGTTGAAATTAGTTAAAATCTAATTTCTATTATAGGATTAAAGTAAAATCAAGGGTTCAGTCGCTTAACGTGAATCAGCTTTTGCCAAGATAATGTAGATTTTATCCTTGTGAAATACTTTTTTTCTGATTACAAGGGTTCATCAGTGAAACAGGTTAATATTTTCCTAATTCTCTTATATATTTACTATTCCGCTATTTTCTCATCCAAGATATATATATATATATATATATATATATATATATATATATATATATATATATATATATATATATATATATATGTGTGTGTGTGTGTGTGTGTGTGCGTATAACATTATAACAACCAGAAGCAAGATAATTATTCCATCTCTGCCTAATCGTCCTGCCGAAAATACCAGTATTGTTTGCAACAAGGATTGCACATATAATATTTAAGTGAGAACTTGTGTTTTTAAACTTAGCCTTATCTATATAATTAAAAAAAAACTTTTCTTTCCTCTCTTAGTTTCAAATTAACACTTTATTCTTCATTCAATTTAATGTCACAAGGTTAATATCCGGGTTTAATTTTATAAAACCTCTTACCTTCCACCCTCCCCTGAGCACTGTCTCGTGCCTTTCGTCTGACTAAACATTGAAATGGATAAATTCTGTATTAATTTTTCGACAGCTGTCACAGTTAAATTTCTAAACCCGACACGAACTCAATCTATATACCAGGGTTGTATAAGACTGACGACGTTTTTGTAGGTTGAAATAGGTCTATTTCCCATATGAAGTAATTATGGATTTTATTGTGTACCGCTTCTACTATATATATAAAAAATTCTCGGTCCTACTAAAATGACTGTTTTAAAAATAAAAATGAAATTTTGATGCTTGATCATTCAATAAGATTTTGATAAATGTGTGGGCCGTCAACTTTTCAGAGCCTAGAAATGTGAAGGAATAAAAAATAATCCTTCAAGTGTTAATATCAACAACAGTATTAAAGCCAACAGCAACATTATCTACCAAAATACAAATTAACGATGATTCATACAGACGAATTTTAATGCCATAAATTATGAAAATATGAAACACAACAACCAAAAACCTGTAAGAAAAAGGAACAAGTTAATTCATTTCAGCAAGAATTGTAAAATAGAATGAATAGATATAAATAATGCCAGTCATAATATATTGTAGAAAAGAAAGACGTAGAGAAAACAGCAGAGAATTAAAGAAGTGAAGATCTGTCTGTATAGCTACTTCAGTTACTTTATTTTCTGGTTGGTGAAATGTTCCTTGCCCGAAAGAAGACATCAACGAAAAGATTGCGATAAAAAACAACAAAGGTGAGAATACTTGTTCAATCAAATTCTAATAATAACTATACACTATCATAGAACTTTAGAAAATACGGAAAAACCCGAAGAAAATAAGACGTAGTGACCGAAAGATACTAGTTTAAATTATTTGTGGTTTCACTTTAGACAACATTAGTAGGAAGTGCAAACGCTGTTAACACGAAGGGTAAAGGAAATAGCAAATTTATAACACATACGTTGGGCAATCCTTAAATATTGGCCTCCTTAAATTGCCACAACTAAAATTACAAGACAGTTTTGTTTGTTTGTTTCTTTCTTTCTTTCTTTCTTTCTTTCAAAAATTCTCTGGCATAAGCAGATTATATTTTGATGTTTTCCTGTGTTCGTTCCTTCTAACTGCAGATGACGCCATCTTTGATCGTTCCGAGACACAAACGGGACATTCAATCTTGACGCGATGGTTCGTCTTACGTCAGATTTTATCTTTTTGTCACTGTTTACACGTGTCTCGAATAAACAAGTTGGCATTCGTTTGTCAAACGGCACCGTAGGGATTTTCTCTCATTTCATCTCAACCGACTGATGCTGTATCCCTACCCTACAACGCGCATACATACGCAAGGATTCTATTAATAAACATAAACGCGTGCGCACGATGTGTGAATAAGTACCTTTCTGCTATGCTAATCCATTAAATAACAACCGCGTCACAATTATTTTACAGTCTATGTCCATATGAGGCTAGATCAGTAAGTTCGTATCCCGGGAATTATTAAATGAAATTTATTTGAAATTTTCACTGCCTCTTTGAGATTAATATTTGCTACTAAAATTATGTTGAAACATTAATACATTGCGTAAAATAAATACACTATGCTTATTGAAAGTATCAGTACATCTTTAGCTTAATTAAGCAAAAGGCCACACATGTGAAGCGCCTAAACATTGTTCAATTGGGAGACGTTTCAGTCAGATGTAAATAAATATAACATATACTTGGAAATATATATTTATGAGTGTCCTCGTGTATCTATATACAAGAGTTTTAAACATGGAGAGATTGCAAACAGACTATAGCCTCTGGGTATTGACTTCAATGTCCACTTTTATGTTTACACATGCTCTTACCCTGATATTGAGCATTTTAATGCATAAATATATATACCTTAAAAAACTATGTTATATATATATATATATATATATATATATATATATATATATATATATATATATATATATATATATATATATATATATATATATATATATATATATATATATATATATATATATATATATATTCTTCTCTATATATATGGCAGGGGCAGGATATCTGATTGACAAATCGGCGGTCGGGTTTCGATTCCGGCTTTTAGACACTGAAGAGCTGTGAAACAGAAAAACAGTCTGTGGGACACTATATAAGGATATCCGTTTGAGCTTTGAGAGAAAGGAGAAAAAAACAGCGCCATTTAAAAAAATGCATTACTCTTCAAGTACGAATTGAGTTCTCCGTAGTTTTTTGCGACGATGTATCTGATTGATCGGTTTGGTTTCGACTTTGAACAATCGGACGTCTAGCCACATTGAAGAGATATGGAACAGTGAAACAGTCTACCCATGGATGACACATATATATATATATATATATATATATATATATATATATATATATATATATATATATATATATATATATTATGGATATAATGAAAAATATACATATACGCGCATATACGTGTACATATAAATATATTTCTTTCAGGTGTTATAAATACAGTGCTCAATGTTGTGTAACAGGGCTATTAAGTATATATTATTGAATATACACAATATATAACGTGACTCGGAGTTCCATACGATCTTGCAATCTTTATGCTGAGTATATTCTGACCTTTACGAGAGTCGCGTTCTCGTGGTAATGATTTATAATTGTTTGTTAAGACTTGTTTATTAAATTATTGTTGTCTAAAATATTATAATTAATTATCTATAATTTATAACATAAACCCGAAACATGAAGAATTAAAAAATAATAAAATAAAAAAAAACAACAATAAAATAAAACATATTTTAAAAGAAAAACTTGAAATTAATTAAACAATTTACGTATTAAAGGGGGGGGAACTAACTCTATTTTTGCATAAAATAACATAGTTGGGCATTGTGTAATGGAATAAACTAGTACTCACGGTCTAAATACAATAATACTGACAAAGGTGAAATTATATATGCACACGTTATAAATTAATCGAGTACGGTAATATGAAATTATATGTGTGTATAGATAAGAAATTTTATTAATGATGGGTTCTAAGAATATTAATATATGTTGCATATTATATTAATATTTGTAAAATCAATTTTGAAATATGTTTTAATCGGAGTGAATGTGTTTGAGAACCTGCTTGGATTTCTGGATACATGTAAACATCATTTATGTTCTCGTGTTCAGCAAGTTAGGGTTATTTAAGTGTTTTGATATAATAAGCTTCTCCAACAAACACAAGATACATCTGTCTCATTTTCCATTGTATGTTTAAGTGTTCGGGTTTATTTCCCAGCTAGTGGTTGGGTTCTTATAGTTGTTTTTAATCTAGCTATATATATGTTTTTAATATATATATATATATATATATATATATATATATATATATATATATATATATATATATATATGTGTGTGTGTGTGTGTTCATTTCTGTGTAGTCGTGTCGGTATTTCAATTTTATTTATGAAATATACTAATATTTGTTTTAAATTTGATAAAAGTTTATTATGTTGGTTTGTTTTTATACTTAATTTAATCGATATAGATTTCTTCTTGTGTTGAATGTGATAGCATAGCACAAAACTATATTTTATCATATATATATATATATATATATATATATATATATATATATATATATATATATATATATATTTTATATACTCGGCACTTCGGGGAAAACGCTCAATATCAGATATCAGTAATATAGCGCTAAGATAACAAGTTGACTCTGGGTCACAAACTCATAACATATATATATATATATATATATATATATATATATATATATATATATATATATGTAAGAATATAAAATTATTTGGGCAGATCGGAGTCAAACAAGAGTACGGATATTTTAAGAAAGAGCTTACACAATTCTAAAAAACTGAATGTGTAGAGCGGATAATAGTGATATAAAAGATTGAAAAATTCACCGTTAACACGACCCGAGTTTCAAACTTACGGTCTCATCAGGTGATATTGATGAGACGGTAAATTTGAAACCCGGGTCGTTTCAACGGTGAATTTCTCAATCTTTTATATATATATATATATATATATATATATGTGTGTGTGCATACATGTGTGTATACACGGAGTGATTTTTGAAAATTTCGTTGTCTGACCAGAAAAGAGGTAAAAAATATCTTCTCAACCTGGTTGATTATACATAATACCAGAAACAATTATCACACTTACAAAAAAGGAAAAATTAACGATTTAACAGCCGGTAAATACTCGATATTTTGCAATTATAGCTTTTTTTTTTTTTTTTTTTAAATAATTTTTTCTTCAGCTGTTTCATTCACAGGATAAATTTCCTTTTATTAAATTTACGTTGCGCATAATTTTGTAAAATAGGCGCATCAAGCATCACAATCTTTTTCAATGAAGCTATCACTATTGTATACTTCTAAACGTCGCACAAAACCCAGCATTAGCAAAGCGCGTTGTACTTATACACATTGACTCTAAATATACACAAAAATCGGCCACTTAAAAAAAAAAAAAATTCTTGTAATATGCAATAATTTGGGTTTCGGATTCAAAATTGAAAACATTGAATTTTCTGCATTTTTTGTTAACTTTTATTTTATAAATTTACTAAAATCTTCACATACAAACAAAATTATACAACTCCTCACCGACACTTTTTAAAAGGATAGTATAAACCGTAATTTTGATACTCGTAAGATTCCTCAGCAGTTTTGTGTTGATGCGAGCGTTCCCCAAATTTACGCGGTGGACTACGAATTCTTTCACCCTGTGCGAATACAACAACAAAATCTGTTTATTTTGACGCTACGAATTTACTATACCCGATTCCTAGTCGTCATCCTCCCAACGTCTTCGTATGCCGACTTCAGAAAATGAACTCAATTACAGGAAAAGACAAAAATCTTTTCAACAACCTTCACCTTCAGCTCGCTGTCAATCTAAGTTTTCCTTTATACGCCACTTTGTTTCCTGGTAAACGAACACTCATTCATTCAACCATTTCCTCTAACCATTTTCCCCTATTTTCCTCAATTTTATCTTTCATATAAATCTTTGGTTTTTTATATAGCTAGTACATATTTTCACTGCTTTTAACGGCGTTTTCAATAGAAAGGTGGTTAGAGCATTTGTCCTGCTGAACGTTTGCTTGAGTGGTTTCAAACTGAGTGCTTGGCTATTAAGATCTTGGGTCAAACTTTGCTAAGATGAGAAAATATCAAGAATTGATTGGTGGCTGTTGTATATACTTATTTCACAGTTGTGAAGAAAAAAGTCATTTTTTGAGTACAAGCAAAAGTTACATTTTTAAATACGTACTGATTTTTCGGTGAGGATTGTTAGAAAATAGTACGACAAATCATGAGAAAAACATAAACCAGGTATATTTTATATTTGATGTCCATAAACAATTTCGAACTTCAAACATACAGATAACCTCATTCAAGTGAGAAGACTGGATTTAATAGTCGTAAAAAGGGAACAAAATGATCTACTAGCGGACGGCTGGGAAAGACAAAAGAAAGCGAAAAGTTGAAAAAATATAGGACCACCACCGAGAGCAAAGAAATCTATGTAGCATAAAGATTAAAATATTAAAGTATTGATATTACCTCTAAAAATAGAAAAAAAAAATAAATTAAAATCGGATGAATTAGAAATCTGATGAAGAATTGAAGCTCTCTCGAGTCCATCGTAGCTAGGGTCTGCAAAGTTTTTGATGAAATAAAGTACTTCAGATTTGAAGTGACTTGATGTCACTCCTTTCCAGGCAACAATTACTAGGCATGTAGTATGATCATGTAAATTTGCTTAAATGGCAATAATAATGAAAGCACAAATAAACACCATTCAGCAAAATAGCAAATATTGAAAAAGACAAACTGTCGAAATAGTGAGTCCGTAACCAAATAACGACAATAAATAAATAAGCATTTATTTTACAAAACAATTATTTATTTTTCAGCGTAATTATCGAATTTCATTTTGTGTTGACTACTAATCGAATAAATCAAACATGATACAATTAAGCCAATCATTATGTGTCAGGCTTTTATTGATCCATCCTTGTCTATTCTTATTTTTATTTTCATTTCCTTCCTTTTTTTATTCATACTTATTTTTCAGTAACAATCTGCCAGTATCTATTTAGTTATTTATAACGAAATTCTTTAACTTTTTATACACTAACGAAAGTTTAAAAAAAGACAATTTTACAGATTCTATTATGATGAGAAATATTACAGTATATATTCTTAAAAACTTGTTAGGCCCTTTAGTAAATCAGTAAAAAGTGAACAAATAATAAAGTAAGGTAAAGAACAAAAACTGATTAATACAAACAAGAAAAAAAAGAAAGGGTAACATTCAAAATTAGAGAACAAATATTGTCATTTAGATTTACGAAATATGGTAATATTGAAATGCAAACAAATTTTTTTTATTCGTCTGCATTATTAATCCTTAAGTTATGATGCCAAAAATGATTAACTCGAGTGTCGAATTATCATACTAAATCTCAAGGTCTGACGATTTCATGTTTTACAAAAGAAGTTAATAAATTTACGAGTGCATTTACGAGAATATTAAAAGTTCATGATGGCACTGGCTCATTTAAGTCGCTTAAAACATTAAGGATATCACGGAAAACAACCTGGACAATTCGAAGATTCTATAGTGGTCTGTTTTAGCACAGTTGTGTCAGGTGATCATAGAATTCGGTAAGATAGTTCTCAGTAGACAGTTCCGCGTTGTTTATGTAAATTCACCAAAGTGTAGAGCAATTTTTAAGAATATTTAATGCAATTATATATGGATATATCTGCAGAATTTGAAATATTTTATTAATAATTTATTCTTGAATATTAGACATTACTATCTATCTATCTATCTATCTATCTATCTATCTATCTATCTATCTATCTATCCCTCTTATTTGTTTTTTTTATTAATTTCTTCGTTCCTTCTTTTTAGTTTTTTTAAAAATATTTTTAATTTTTGTTGTTTCACTCTACCCTTCTCATTTCTTTTTATTTTGACCGAGAGAACGACTTAGATAAACAGTTTCCACCATGACTGGATACATGTGCAGGTTTGAATCAACCCGGAACACCCAACAAGACTACGCGTGCGCACACATATGAATACATTTCAGCCTACATTTTTGTTGCAGTCGGAGCGCAAAACATGAATTCATACCTCAAGAAACACCACTTTGTGCCAATGTTGCTCTCCTCCAATTTCCCACCCTTGCACATACAGACATATTCGAATATATACATATACATTTATTTCTCATGATACACTTTCCATTAAAGAAGACACTCATGGGACGTCATGCCGTGGAGCAAAGCAATATCGAAAATTATTACGCCCATAGCAAATTTTAACTCCAGTGGTTGCTTCAGGGCCAATTGCGTACATATGATGGTAAGCTTACTAAATATTATAAACATCTTCGCTTTGAGGTATATGTTCGTAAATTCACCATACAAACCTTTATAATAATATAATAATTACAATTTACACTGGTTGTTTAACATTTGTAATATTGTGTCAGTCTAAGCAACCAGTTTTCTGTTGCAGATAGTGCGTAGGTAACGCATGTGAAAGGTATCAAGTTGATTGATGTACAGATTAGAGTAGGGATGTCAGTACTACTAACTTGTACACATCAATTTTCACCTTTAACGAAACATCACGAATATTCCCAAGCCTGTGATAAAAATTACCGAAGACAGAACAAGCCTTTGCTCTCAATTTCTTTGTTCATCTTAGCATCGTTGGATACAGTGGAGCCAAGATGGGTAAGAAGGGAAACAGTTTTCAAGACTTTTCCCTCAACATAAACGGTAGCATCAACAACTCAAGGCTGATGGACAAGTTCCGTTTTTTATACTGATGGTCAGATCGAAAGCTTTTGATGTACAAAAGAATTTGTTGATTCATTGCATATCCTCAAGGATGTGGACTACAAGTGTGGAAACGTCTGCAAAGATCGGGGCGCAAACAGTTTGTACAATCTTCTTAATTCTTGCTTTGAAGCGTTGTTGGTTAAACAACCCACCATAAAAGAAGTGTATGACCACAACCTTGTTTTGTTCCATTAGAGACAATGAATAGGTCGGACACCTCTCTACTAGATCTATCTGAGGCCATCTTCTTTTGATGGAAAGACACCCAGCTTCCTAAGGACGACCCAAAGTGCATCTCTTGAAACATTATCAAAGGCCTTAGTGAGATCAACGAAAGTAATAAATAAATCCTTGTAATACTCTCGTGCTTTCTCCTGTAGTTGCCCGAAACTGAAAATCATGCCCACAGTGCTTCTATCAGACCAAAAGCCGTACTGAGATTCAGACAAGACTGAATCGATTTGAATCTGTTCAAAATGATCCTGCCAAGAATTTTCCCAGTAACACACAGAACGGAGATACTTCTATGATTGTCACATTCGCATTTATGGTCTTTGTGCTTATAGAGTTGGACAATAGAAGCGTCTGTAAACTACTGAGGAACTTATCGTGAATCCCACATTAAAGAAAAGAGATAGCAAAATTTATGAAGCAGGAGTTTGCTGCCACATTTGTCTATCTCTGCTGGTATGCCATCGTTACCAGAGAATTTTCCATTTGTCAGTTGCTTTATGGCCCTTTTTATCTCACCAATAAATGGAGAAGCTGATAACCCTTCAAGAATAGACACCTGTGGTAAAGTTGTTGATAAGACTCTTGTCAACATTCGAATCCATGTTCAGAAGATTTTAAAAAGTGTTCTGCTGCTCAGCGTTTAGCGATCTCGCTTTTGTCCGTTAGAAGATATATATATATATATTATATACATATATATATATATATATATATATATATATATATATATATTTTTCATAGAAAAAATATTCGTCCTATGAAAATTCCTCGGACATTCAAGCCGGTAAATGTTATTTAATACTGTTTATTATAAACAGAGCATTTACTAAAATACTTCTATCTATAAATGTTAAACATAAAAATGTCTTTAAATAATTATCGGACTTTGTCCATTTCATTATATATTATATATATATATATATATATATATATATATATATGAATGTGTAAATTTTGGTATACTTTTTACATTTAAGCAAATTTAATTAAAAATTACGAACATGATCTCTTTTTACATTTTTTAATGTGATTTTCTTTTGTTTTCATACAGGATGACATATCTTAGACTACATTGTGTGTCAAAATTGTCCCTTCCAACCATCTTTGGTCATTTCCAAGAAGGGAATGCGTTATACTTTTGAAATTCAAGAAAACATTTTTCCAGCATGGCGTTTATTGTCTATAAATTTATAAAATGAAATGAAGTTATACAGACATTGTAAAAAAATCAAAATAAAATACAAAACAAAAAGCGAAACAAAAAAAACACCCCAAACTAAAACAAAAACCACCGAAAAATCATGAAACAAGCCTCATCTCTTGTATTATTTCATCTAATGTAACTTAAACTTAAGACAACTGAAGTAAATTTTCAATTCACTTGGTGTCTTCGAAAAAGATTCAACCGAACACATGCGTATTCACGTGATATGACGCAAGAAAAAAAAAAAAAGAAAAAACATCGATACAAACAGGTTAAATCAACTCAATAAATATAAACACGTTTAAGAAAAGAAACAACAAACATCGGTTAAACAAATACGACAAAAGATAATAAATAAATAAATATAAAGTAAGGTCTTTTTCAACCATTTTAATGACGTCACCAGAACGTGAACTCTCAAAAGATGAAGACCAGTCATAAATACTTAGACAATTTGCATTCAAGAGACAATAGCCGAAATATTTATTGTGGATGAATTTGTGATTGTGTCATACAAAGGGTATTTATATAAAACAGAAGTTACATAGTGGGAAGTGCAATGCGTATGGATCATGCAAAATGTGTGAAAATGTAATCAACAATAAGCGGTGAGAAGCAGTGATTGTTGGTAGTATGAAACATCGTACCGTGTGACAACCTCTCCTTTTTTTAAAAAAACATATTTTAAGAATTTATGTATATTTACATTTTTAACTAAGTATATGTGTAAAATTATTCTCAGCTCGATCATGAAATGATTGGTATTTGGTCAGATTTTGGTAAGAGGATCAGGCGGGCATAAAACATTTCTGCTCCCTCAAACGTTACACTACCCACATATGGTGCCTATTAAACAATTTTAAAACGTAAATGAAAATATGCATTCATCTCAGATAACATCTTCTTTAAAATAAAGATAATATTTCGTATATATAAGGCGTATAGCCATTTTTGCTTATATAATAAAAGTTGTGCTGATAAAAAAATATTATTTATTATATATTACTGTTTAAACCTATTTGTGCACATTTAAGAATACATTTATATAACTTTGTTCTGGTCCGTAAAATACTATATGTTTACGTTCATTTTGTTAAGTAATACTAGTACCATCATTTGGAGGTTGTCAAACACGTGTTGTTTGAAATGCAATAAGCGGTTGGAATCGATTACAATGAGAGACGTTACCATGTTTTTAATTTTATTTTAACGATTGTTGATTTTCGTTCAAAAATGACCAGTAATTGCAATCTGAAAGAAAATAAAACATCCGGGCTTAACATTTAACAACAACAACAACAACAACAACAACAACAACAACAGAGGCAGTGGTATCAGACAACTTTATCAACTGGCAAATGATAAAAATTATAAAGGCAGCAAGGGAAAGGAGAAATTAAGTATGTAACATAAAGAAAAGTGTTGTTCTTGCTATACGGCCCCAAAAGACAAAAACCCTCTCCATTCAGAGGATAAAATTATGTAAGTAAATGAAAATGGACATATATACCCAAGAATACAATCAGTAATTTTGGATATCACGATAATTTAAATGTGTCTAATATTTAATGAAATATAAATAGCTACAAATATTTACATTTAGCTACTTAATATTTAATATTTTTATATAGATGCATCAAGTGTAAGACTGATTATCTAATGCATAATCGAACAATTTCAGATTGGATGATGTCACCTTTTAACGTTTTTAAGGTAGAACAAATTTAAAAGTTAGATGACATCAATAATTAAGTTGTCTTTTTATGTAACGTATGTAAAATAGATGCGTTATTTGTTACTAAATTTAATAAATCTATCTTACCACTGACGTACAAAACTTTGCAAAACTCAGAATTTAAGTCATTGAACTTTTTATCTATCTATCTATCTATCTATCTATCTATCTATCTATCTATCTATCTATCTATCTATCTGTTGGTTGTTACCGTTGATGTGTGTGTGTCTTACTTTTTTCTTAGATATGAGGTGTGTTAAAAAAAATTCTCGTCCCGACTTACTTTCTAAAATTTGGCCAAAAAACTAACCTTCAGAATTTTAAAATCTTTTTTCTGCTTGGACTGAAAACTTTTTAGAAACAACGCCTATATATTGGAATATAGGTAAATATAAGTAACAAGAATAAGACTTGTTTGGTAAGATACTTTTTATGCTAGTTTTTGATATGAAAATCATGAAGATAATAATCATTTGCAATTCACAAGATTTGATTAGTTATAAATTGACCAACGAAAACTTGTTTGAAAATGTGTGGAGTCAGGAACTGCGTCATTCTGATGGCTGGAAAACTTTCAGTTGGTTACTTTCAATGTTCTTGATAGAAAGTCTTTAATATGTCAAGAACCATCAAATAAACAACAAAGGAAAACAAAATATTTATTTATTGTTTACAATAAACAAATATATTAAAACACTGTTATTATCTTAAGTTTTATAAAACAATTTTGGACGTATTCTTTCTTTCTTTCGGCTGTCTTTCTGGCTTTCTTTCATTTTACTCGTATTCCTTTCTTTTTCACGTTTTTATTTTTTCACAATTAATCTATTTAAACTCCACTTTCCTTTACCCAATCATCGAGAAAAAAAGAGCCATTTTAACTTGGCTGCAACTTGACATTCATGACAAAAAGAATTAATGACTTCAGACAAACGTAACTGTTGGTCTGGAAGAGGATAATGCTGATCTGGAAGAGGCTAATAATTCTCTTAAAATCTAATGAATAGATAACAGAATAGGCAATTGAAGGGATAGTAAAGAGGCAAATATTGGTTAGAGCTGCGAACGATATGTAGAGAGCCATATCTTGGTAACACGGCACATAAAAGAGGAATCTATCTATCTATCTATCTATCTATCTATCTATCTATCTATCTATCTTCGTCTATAACACAACACTTATTTTCTCGGGTTTTTATTTTCATTCATATGTGCCTTAACTTGCACACCTCACAGTTACCGCTCCTCAAAATACATAAATACATCTTTTTACTAATATAAGGATTAGGATATAAATCTTTTATGTTTCCGATGTATATTGAATAGCTATATTTAAGCCACTCATGTACATATATATTTTTGTGAGATTTCAAAATTAAATCCCAGAGAATTTCATAGCACAAATCACATCCAAATAATCTATATGATATTGTTTTTATTTTCAATCATTTCATCCCAAGTAAGGCAATAAATCTGCGCAAGTACTCACTGAGTGTAAAAGAATATGAGAAAAAGGAAAACATTATTAAGGAGAGAGAATTATAAAAAGAACAGGAACTAAGAAGAAAGAAGATAACGATTGACATTACATTTAAATTTTTGAAGATCGAAGTTAACTTCAAAGCAGGACGCCTTAGGAAATGAAAAAATGTAAGAAAATGTTAGCATAGAACTTTCGGTTATATCTAGGCATTTTAACTCTAAATTGATGAGAACTTGCCTATAGAATTGTGCTTAAATTTATGAAGTATAGGTACCATAGGGGAAAGTTCATCGGAATAATTACCATGAAAATATTCATAGAAAAGATGCGTGGAAGCTACGTTACGGCAGTGTGAAAGTCAGCTCAGGACATTACTCCTTTGGATTAGAAAGATCAAACAATTCCCCAGAGTCCTCAAAGACTGGAACTACAGAAGAGGATTTCCAACAAGCAGTAAAGCAAGAAAAAGCAAGACATTTATTGTAGAGTTTCGGGAGAACAGGAGCCATTTCAAGAGCACATTTCATAGCGACTATTGCAGGGATACCATCAACCTACATGCTTTGAGGGGATCCAGTTATAGATGATAGCAGAAACCATGAATGAAATTATATGCATATCACAAAATGGAGACTTTGTTCTAAGTGGAAACTCAGGCAAAGATATTTCAGTAAATTTCAGTAATTTTTCTCTCTTTTCTCTCAATTTAATTTGAATGATTATATTACAACAGCCATCGCAACATCGCCAGAAAGCATAATAAAATGTATCATTACTAGCACGCCTGTAGGATAGTAGATGCAGAGGTAATTGGACAAATCACTCTACCTGACCCGTTTTGGTAGGAACAGCCAAAAAGCTGTTCACCCCATTGTCAGACTTGACAGGATTTAGTAATTTGAGATGAAATGTTTCTTTACTCTTCCGTGAATGTGGCTTTTTTATTCCCTGAAGACTTGACACAGGAAGAATCTTAAACCGAATCCTTTTTGACATCTTTTAAAATACTATATATATATATATATATATATATATATATATATATATATATATATATATATATTTATATATATCTCTGTGTGTGTCGAGAGAGAGAGACAGAGAGAGACAGAGAGACAGAGTTAGAGAGAGAGTTAGAGAGAGAGTAAGAGAGAGAAGAGAGAGAGAGAGAGAGAGAGAGAGAGAGAGAGAGAGAGAAATGGGAGAGAGATGGAATTAAAATAATTATAAAAAAATAAGCGCTAGTCCTGTTCCGTCAAGTTGATAGTGGGTGGGAATTGACGTTTGAAAGGCAGGAAAATTTGAAACAGGTGAATGTTAACATTTGCACATCGCATTTCGCCAGACATCGGTCGCTCTTACTGCAGTTGATCGTGGAAAGTGAGTAATATGGTAACGATTAACTTCCAAACTATAAACAAAAATAAACAAATTTTTTAACTTTTGACTGTATTTTTCTTTCGTTTTGGATATTAATATAAATGACCCCCTTTCCCCACCTCATACTTGAAAAAATCTGTTAATCCTCACTTATTTAATATCTACTTATTATTTTAACCATTTAAGGCCTGGATATTTTTGTGTGGCGCCATATCAGCGAAACAGATCGTCAGCTTCTTCAGAACAATGGTTTCTTTTACTGACTTCATTGTAATGTATCAATTATCTTGAATTACAATCAGATTCAACGCCTCTGTAAGAAAACCATGGTCAAAGAAATTTCTCGTGAGATATCTCATTAGCCGTTTATAAGTGGTTAAATAGATATTTATGACAAGATTTAAAGTAGAAAACTAGGTGTTGTATTATTTATGAGTCTTATTTTTCACTAAATCAAATAAAAAATGATGCTCAACTTAGGGTAGTTTCTAGTAAATGCGATCTCCACTGTTTGTTTCACTGACCTTGTATCAAACTTGGGCTTTGTAAATATCCACGCGGAATGTTTTATCCACAGATGACTAAAAGTGAAAAATGATATCTAAAGAGTCCTTGGTAATCGAGAGAAATTTTGAAACTTTGAATAAAAAAAAAAAAAAAAATGATAAAATGAATTTCGTATTTTCCCCAGCAAAATAAAACAAAACGATTGAAAGAAATTATTGCATTATTCCAAAGTTTTCAAAATATTGCTATTTTTTAGCTCCTATATACTCTTCGGTCTTCCTGTATTATTCGAAAACAGATTATTTCTATTATCATTGTTGCTTTGTAATACAGCATTTTGACTGAGGCATTCTTAGGCGTTTCTCAAGTGTATGTCTGAGCAGATTTTGGAGGATACTTAGAACTTTAGGAAAAAAGGACAAATTAAGATATAACACACCTGGAGAGACTGAAGAATGCATCTCTCGAAACGTGTTGAAAACAGCAAAGATGAATATAATAACCCTAAAATGTATGGAATAATGAAATAAGGTCATCCTAGAACTACAAACAATAGAAAAGAGCCGAAAAATAAACACTGTACAGAAATAATAAAGGTGAAATGACAAAAATACTCCTAAAACATATGTAATAATGAAATATTGTCATCTCAGAAGTTTAGGAAACAGTTCGTAACTACATTGTTGAATTGTTAATTCTTTGGAGTTAAAAAAGAAGTTCTGTTATTACTAAAGATAAAATTAGGGATAAAAGAGACAGGTGAATGGTATACAGTATAACCTAAACTTAAAAAAGAGATTGATGTGTGGAAAGAGGGAAAGGGAAAGAGAGGGAGAGAAGTAAAGGAAAGGAAAAGATGAGAGAAGTAATAGGGAAGGAGCAGATGTAGAAGCAAACAAAGAGAGGTGGAAAAGGAAATATTTCCAGAGAAAGAAATAAAAAGAGGGAGAAATAAACCGATTAGAACTATTGGAAGAATTCTTTGTTAAACAAGCTATAGTGTTGTTAAATTTAGGCTGATGAAAGTCGAATGAGATGCTTGCTTTGAAAATGAACATTCAAAACCCAGGCTAGTAACTGATCACTGAGTCAATGGGAATCACTTAACTGTCTCAATATTTATTTGATTTAGCTTAATACGGTACAAAGCCAAATGAGGAGGCGGAATAGTGTTAGGAATATTATGCTGCGCCAGTCTTTCAAGGGTAAAACGACATTTTTGTTTAGAAAATCAGCATATGAGATTTAGGCGCAAAGATGGCGAGTCAAATGTTTTTGAACGGATGACCGTTACACGACTTTGAGATTGAAAATCTGTTTATCCTTAGTCTACACAGAAATAATCGATTATAGAAACCATGATTGCACCAGATGAAATGTTGCATTCACAATCCCCGACACGACTACACAAGTTTTTTGAAGGACGGAGAAAAATATTGGCCCGAACCTGGTCAAGAAGGAGAGATGAAATAAGCAAAAGACTGGATTTTCTCTTGACTGAGGTCATTACATATTCCTTATCGACAGTAGAGCCCAGGTAAAAACCAATATTTTGAATGTTGATTTTCAAGGCTGTTCATTTGAATGATTCGTTCAGTCAAATTTTTCTAATCGCCATTTGGATCCACGTTTTGTTTTGCACTTCCGGTAAACTATTTTCATATTGATTTGTTTTAAAATTTAAATACAAGACAGAATTTCGAATGCTGATTTTCAAAGCAGGCTAAAGTTTCTTACATGAAATATTTGTGCAACTCCATCTTCATAATAATAATTTTCTCTTTCATTTCACTAAGTTGAGAAAATATTGAGAAAATCAAACAATAAATTATTTCATGTCAACCCACACCACCACAATCCTTTTTGGCTGTCGTTACTTCAAGAGTGAAATAGGTGTTATTAACTCAATAATAATTTGGTTCTTTGTTTTAGTCTGATGAGTTCTTATGTTAAAAGGAACTTATTTTTTATTTAACAACAATATTTTGAATGCGGCTTTATTTATGTAATTTGTGTACCCCTGTGGCGGAGGATGTCTGTCATATACTCTGCAAAATTTCAGCAATTACTTGTCAGGCTTTGTCATACTAACTAAACCCAATATATTATTTCTCGTTCACACACTTTATATCATTGGTATAACTTAGATGATAAAATAATCACTCTAACTAAAATATATAATTTTTAAAAATCGCTATGCATGAAATAAAAAAACACATTATGGTATTTTAATATTAAGTGTAATAATTTTATAAAAATAAACATTTATTTTTTTTCCAAACATGTATGAAAAAATAGTGAATGCAAAGACAGATATGTTTTTAAAATAACGTGTGTAGTTATCTCGAGTATGTGTCTCTATATATGTCTATGTGTTAGTGTTTTCATGTATTTCTCTGTGTGTCTATGTGTCTCTCTGTGAATTTTATTGTGTGTTTATGATCAGTACTGCTGACTGATATCATATTTTCTCAACACTATCCCAGTCACAGTCATCACCCCAACCCTCCTGACGAATTAAGGCTGCCACTTTATTTGATTTTTACCGAATTTAAGGTGGGTCTAAATTTAATTTGCACTTTCTCAAAAGATACATTCCGCTAAAAAACCTTATACTGTACAGAATAAATTATTTAAAGTCGACATTTGAAATAAATAAGTTAAAATAAAAACGTGTTCTTTAAAAAATAGGCATACAAGTCATTAGAGATTTTAAAAAGATTATTTATAAAATTAGAGCAATAAATACATTGCCTATTAAATATGTCTCCAGCTTCGATCAGGCTCAGACTTACTCAGCCTAACTAGCCATGTTAATTTTATTTCATTATTTTTTTACTTACTTTGTTTGTTTGTTTTCTTTCTTCTTTCTTCCTTCTTTTTTTATTATGAACAATATCAACGAAATGTATTTCGTCCAATATTTTGAGGCTCGGATATACTGTTGACTAATATATATATATATATATATATATATATATATATATATATATATATATATATATATATATATATAATGTTGACTCACTCGGGCTGAGGCCGAAAAGCCCAACCCCCGTAGTATATATATGATAAAAATATAGTTTTAAGGGATGCTATGTTCATGGGTAAAAGAGCTCAATATCAGGAATACAGCATATGCAAATATAAAAGTGGACATAGGAAATAACACCGAATGCCCTGAATACTACTGTCAAACATGAAACAGACTGTCGTCACTCGGGGTTGTTTTTGTTTTGTATCCACTTTTCTATCTATCTATCTATCTATCTATCTATCTATCTATCTATCTAAGCTCTTTTCAATATTTTTAGATTTGAAATTTATGAACGTACGCATGTAGAACTACTTAATAGTTATAAAGATTAGTTTAGTACATGGATTCGGTAAACAAATACAAGAAAGATTGTATTACATCTACTTTTCAAGTAGGGAATCCATGCTTGCTTATCCAGATTCGAGCACTGACTATTTTCATTAAGGGTAAATATGTCTATCTAAACCACAAATCAAGCTTTTCTTCCGCTGTCTTTTTTGCTTTATCACTTCTTAGAAATAAGTTTAATCTATCCATTAAACGACCTCCTATAAAGTCGCTTGTATACCAGGCATGACATCGTCTTTAGTTACATACCGATTGCTAGCTACCAATCTACTGCAGCTGGTATCAGAAAGGTACCTGTTATCTGTTCTTTATTGACAGATTTCCTTCAACCACATTCCAAGTACGTCGCCAAGACACAAAAAATAAAGGATAATGTTGATACGAATAATTAGTGTAGTCTGCACCTGCTTTTTTTTTCTCGATGTCGATATTTTTGCAAATATGTGCACTGAAGTGTCGTAGTCATAGTATAAGTACCTCGTATTGCATAGTGTTGTCTTCTTTCGAGTGAAGTGGATGATTTCAAAAGTGGTCAGAAAACCTTTGGAGAGATGTTGGCGTCACGATATATATCTCTAGCTCCCAGATATTTGCAGATGCAGGATCTTTTGTACGAATAAAGCACCCCACCACATCTTATAAATGCTAGACTGCGTTTACGCAAGGCGGACATGATAGATACATCATTTATTTAAAACTGAACCTGTTGATTCAGTGCATTATTCTGTTAGAATGACCGACCGATTGGGATACTTGGAATCCACGAATAAAATAAATGTAAATTGCCATGAAATAGTGCAAAGTAGCGGTCACTGGTCAATGCTATGTTTAGATGGACCAGGAAACCCAAACCTCTGTAACGTGAATACACCCTACACCAATATGGGACAAGCACCAGATTAAGGCGTCTTATCGAAAACTGGTACCTATGGTATCATCGAGTTTACACAAATACTGAACCCTGTCATAACCCCGAATGTTCCAATGTCCAATGGAAGCTAAAGGACACGGGCCTGCTAGATATGCGTCTGTTAACTTTTTTATTGAATGTGGATGTGATTTGTGCTTTTCTATTACCATAGACACCTCTGGTCACGACCATTAAGAACCCGTGGTCAGCCACTGCTTTAACCACGGTGAGTAGTAATTCCTCAGGTATTCCCGATACACACGTGATGCCGTAAACAAAGGGATGTCAAATGTCACCACAATTTCATAAATGGAAATATCATCCGTCTAGTATCCACTGTTATGCCGCGTTCAATGGTCGAGAAGCTTTGTCAGGTAGAATGTTAATAATCCTTAGTTTTAAGGATTTTTTCATTATAGTGAATGGAATAAGAGGTCATGATGATTTAATTTATCAGTAATCGTAGGTACTTTTCAGTGTCGAGCATATTTGTAGTCAGAAGTTTAGAACTGAACATTTGAAACTCTGATCACGATATACTCACCATCGCTTCATCTACCAAAAAATATGAAAATGAATTGTTGATCAATTTTATAGAATTTATTATCATTTCACCCGAAGCAAGGCGATAATGTCAATAAGATGCAAAGGATTGCTGGAAATGAAAGAGAACGAGAAAAAATTTAGTTAGGAGAAAGGACAATAAACGAACAGGATTCATGAAAACAGAAAACTAGGTTGTATTTAAATTTCGGAGATTGTAGGTGACAGTGAAGCAAGAAACTGGGAGAGAGTTGGACAGACGAGAAATGCGAGAAATTATTAGAATAGAAAATACGGTTACATTTAGCTAGTTAAAAAGTAAAACGGTGATACCTAATTGCAAATATAGTAGTACGCTTAAATTCATTCAGAGGAAAGATCATCAGAACACTTGCCATAAAAGAAGGAAAACTTAATGTCCAGATGTTAAGAAACAAACTAATATTCTTAGAGAGTAATACTAGCAGTGAACGAATAAAGTTCTGGGTTACTACCAATTAGAATATAAAATTTAATTTTCATATAACAAGTCTGGAAATTATGCTGACTCAGTAACAATAATAAATAGTAAGTTTAATAGGTTACAAAATGTGACTTAACAAAAATAAGTTATACATGACATCTTCAAAGGTCAGGTCAGTGACACACAAAGTTGAATGAAGGCAATCAGCGTCAGTTGGTCAAGTGACTATACACATTAATATAATGTGACTTTTAGAATGACACATTTATAAAGTGTCCAGTAAGTCGCATTTTCCTTCAGGTCATTCTTTCTTGTCTTTACATGCGATTGAAAGTGGTAAGGCGTGATGAGAAGATAATAAAATCATCTTTAACTTTTCTTATTTTTGCATTGTAGATCAGAACAAAGCGAGATCTCTCAACTATAACCAAAAGAAATTATGTCAGATCATTGGTCAAATAAAATGTTCACAATTCACTCTCATACATTATTAGTACTTTACATGACCTATCAAATATTGATAATTTTTCATTTTGATAGCTTAATTCAAGGAATCAAGATCTTTATTCCTTTTAGATGCATACAAAATTGGACTTGGTCGACAGCCAACTTGAAAACATGTTGGAAGATGAGTAGGTGTATAACACGTTTTAATTTGTCACAATAGTGCTGAATCACCAAATGTTAGCCCAATCATGAAAGGACACGACAGAAGCGTCTATAGAAAAATTAGGAAGTTGAGAAGTAGCAATCTGGAACTAATATAGAGAGAATACGGTATTCTTTTTTCCACGATCCGGTAGGGACACTTTGGTTTAAAGACTTAAGTAAAACTTATTTCCTTCGTGGAACAATGCTACACTGAGTTTTTTTTTAAAATTTAAATGTATAAAAGTCCTGTTCATGTTACGTCAATTCCCGTCTGTTTTTAACTGTTTTGCTCTCTCTCTCACACATACCGTAGTATTTGTTCTTTTTTTGGTGGTGGTGATGATGGGTTTGGGAAACGTCGAACGATAAATATATCTAGATAGTATCAACAAGAGAAGTTATACAACTAGCTTCGAAAGCTTTGTTTACACACTTGAATTTCTCCGAAAATTTAGAAATACTAGATTAAGCAGTGGAAACAAGCCTGTCGCTTGGAATGGAAAAGACTACAATAATAAATCGGTACATTTGTATAGTTGTAGAATCTAAAATGCTTCTATGTAATACACGAAGTTTAATTAATTGACACATTTTAAGGGAAAACGCTAATAAAGTAGTACAATAAGAACACAATCACTTCCTCTAGAACAAGAATTTCGAGAAAAGACTTCTTATTAGTCAATTTTAAAGTGGCATGAGCTTTAGGACAATATTTAAGTAATCGATGCTAAGTGTCTAACGCAACATATTTCATGAAATTATCGGCCCAACTATCGGCCTACGTGGTTCGTGAACATAATTCGCATTTTGCGTTTTTTATTGAGAGATAAAAACAATCTACTGTAGGGAACCATATACGAAACTATGGTGTTTCCATCTATCAGTAAAAGTAGGTACGTATTTACTTTACTCAATGATCGAGAAGCTTTGTCAAACTAAATGTAACTAATACTTTTCCAGCGCAATAAACGAATATCTTCTGGGCGCCGTTGGCGACTGTGGAGGTCCGTTGATTGTTGAAGTTGTCTTTGCTCGTTTTGTTATCACGACATCTCATGTTTGTGTCTAAGGTTGGTTTCTACGAAGCCGAGTAAGAAAATGGCGGCTTTGTTTGTTATTGCAGTTGCTAGATGACCTTGGCAGTGAAAAAACTGAATGGAAGAATGGCAAGTGGAGAGGGAAAACCCAGGGTTCTTTTTTCAACACGCATTCATGCACAAATATAAATACAAGAACTAAGCAAAAGAGGCTCAAAAAATATATATATATATATATATATATATATATATATATATATATATATATATATATATAATATATATAGTCGAGGGTGCTGAAAAGTTCACTGCCTGACCAAGAAGTTCTTATTTTGGGTCATTTGGTTAAATTTTGAGAACTAGGTCGGTATATATATATATATATATATATATATATATATATATATATATATATATATATATATATATATGTGTGTGTGTGTGTGTGTGTGTGTGTGTGTTTATGTGTGTGTCTGTGTTTGTGTGTGTGTGTCTGTGTCTGTATGTTAGTATGTCTACGCATGTGAGTATGTAACGTATAGACATTTTTTTTTGCTAACACGCTATAGACCAATACTATATGAGCTCATATAGCAGTAAATTATTATGCACAGAGATTGAATCTCACTGAGTGCCTCATGTTCGTAATCAACAATAGTTTGAGAATGTAGTGAATTTCAATATCTCAAGATGAATTAGTAATTATTAAAGTACTTTCGAAGATCCTTACTAATGTAGTGATTTCATTGAATATTCCAATCTTTTGGTCTTGTACCAGACTAAGTAAATATCCATACTATGAGAATTATGCGTGTGTCCACACGTAATAAATCTCTTGCATGTAGGCACGCTTAATTATTTTCCTCAGAAACACACATTACGCACAAAATTGTCTTTATAAGTATTTACAAAGCAAAATATTAGTTTGGCAAAAGGTCATAATTGTTGGAGACACGAAAAGGCTCAAAGTAATAAGTAGTATTTGCAAGTAAATAATAATAATAATAATGATAACAATGAAATTGTAAATTAACGTTCTCAGTAATAAAATAAAAAAAGTTGAAATCAAGAAGAACAAGAATTCTATACTGTCTTGCCATTCTTTGTGGTGCGTGAAATACAAAGAAATACAGTTGTTTTGTGAGGGCCACGTTGATACGACCAGTTCAGCTGTTTTTGCCAAGGATTCATTTTTCGTGTCTCCCAAGTTGAAATTGAATACATTAAAAATAAAGAAAGAAAAAGTCTCAGAGTAAATATAAATAAACTCTTTGTAACGAGACAAAAAGTAAAGGACTAAATAATAAAAAAAGATCTTTGATAAGCAATCTTCCTGATTGAT